AGGTAGGGTATGCTGTTAGTAAGTTTGTTCATGGCCTGTAGTTTATGTGTCTATGAACAAACCCCCACCTCCCTGCCCGATAACACCTCCTTGTTCGGAGCCGCCTTCGTGGTCGGGCCTACGGGAGGTGCAGCCAAACAGCAGCAGTGGGCGGCGCCGACTTAGGCACGTAGGTCGACCAACTTGGTTGACCTGCACGGGCCACTGCGAAGCCGCCGACCTTGGAAAGCCGGCGGCTGACTTCATTGTGTGGTCGGCGATAGGGCCCGTCGACTAACAGGAGGCGCCGACTTGGTGGTGCTGAACTGGGAGGCGCTGACTTGGTGGCGCCGAGTTGGGAGGCGTCGACTTGGGGACGCCGAGATGGAAGGTGTCGACCCGTGAACGCCGGCCTAGGATAGCCGACTTGGTGAAGTCGGCAGCATGTGGTTGTCGACCTGGGCTGTCATCGGGCACACGGTGTAGCACCTCGTCTGCGTGGCTGCCCAGTCAACCAGGTTACTAGGCGTTAGAGTTCTGCGGAGGTGTGCAACGGTCGCTGGGTTGGTTTTAACAAAAACTTGGCTGACCAGGTGCAGTCAACAGCGCGTGGACGACTTGGCGTCAGCGCTGTTCTGACGGGGCACAACACGCCAACCAACCGCGAGCACCTGTGCAACGGGTGCACTGCTATCATGTGGATGCAACGCTTTGCAGCTGCCTTATTGTAGCGTTGGTACACCGTCGACCTGCAACATTGGCACGCCGCCACTTTGCCCTGCCCACGGTCGACCTTGCAGTGCTGGAACGGTCGACCGTGCTGCGCTGGCAGTCGACCTGCTTGCATGCTAGATCCTAATGTCATTAGTGTTGCTTTGAAAGTGTTGACCATTGTTATCAATTTTTGCTAATGAAACTCTTGCGGTTTTGCCCTGTGAACGCACAATTGATACAGAACACTAAGGAAACGCTACGATCACTCCCACCACCGTGCCTTCCTCGTAGTATAGCTCCCGTTGTAATAGTTATCTTCGCATGGTGCAGTGAGCGTGGACAGCACCGCAATCTACCTACTGATAGGAGCCGAATTTTTCACCTATAAAGTCGTTCGTAGGCCGACAGCACGTGTGACCATGACACCCGTCCCAGTAGTTCCCGGCGCGGTAGAGGATAGTCCGGAGACACGTTGGACTGATGCTAGGAGACGCCACAAGGCTGGCGAGTTCGGGCCGATCTTCCCCTTGGATGTCATCGAGCTGGGCATCTGCGCAAAGTGGGCGATGGTACACCCTTTCCGAGCTGTTTCTCCTCGACCGGTGAACAACGACTGTGGCATCGACGACGACATCGACATCGGTAACCCAGTTGGCAGCAGTGCGGGAGATACAGTGGCCGATTTCAAGCCTATATAAGATAAGACACATATGACTTCTACGACTTGCTCGCCGCCAGCAGCAGCACTGCGATGCTGAAAGAGCTGAAGGAACTGCCCGAGGCCGCCTTTGAGTTATGCAAGATCTCGCCGGTCGTGAAGTACCTTGGGCTGGAGATCGTGCGTGACAGGCCAGCAAGGAAGTTGTTGCTGCACCAACAGAACTATGCCGACAAGCTGTGCAGGCCCTTCATCGACGAGGAGGAAGGCGGGCTCATCCCAAAGACGCCGGTCCCGGTCGACGCCTACGCCGAGCTGACATTCGACGACGAGGAGGCACAGAAGCGCGAGGAGGAGGAGTACCGGCAGAAGGTTGGCTCGCTGCAGTTTGTGGTGACGACGACGAGGCCGGACACCGCCTTCGCCTGCAGCAAGCTGGGGAGCAGCGACCAGCACTGGCGCGAGGTCGACCGCTGCCTCTCTACCTCGCCGACACCCGCGAGACCACCCTGGAGTTCGGCGGTGGACCAGAGTCGCTGGAGCTGATCGGCTTCGTAGACGCCGACGACGTGAGCGACAAGCAGAACCGGATGAGCACGGGCGGCTACGTGTTCGTCTTCGGAGTGGTCGCGGTCTCCTGGTTGAGCCAGCGCATCAAGTGCGCAACACCCTCCTCGACTGAGTTGGAGTACGTCGTGGCCACAGATGCCGGCAAGGAAGGGCGTCGACTTTGCTTCCTCCTTGTAGATTTCAAGCTGCTCGACGCGGGGAAGCCGACCATCCTTCTCGTGGACAACAAGTCGGCAATCACGTTCGTTGAAGGATTGGGGCTGCAGGATAACCTCAAGCACATGGAGCGACGCTACGCCTGGCTGCAGCACATGGTGAGGCGCGGGAAGTTCGTGCTGATGTACATCCCGACCATCGAGCAGCCGGCAGACTTCCTGACGAAGGCGCTGCATTTTCCAGCTTTCAGCTGGTGCTCTGTCACCATCAGCCAAGTTCGTCTGGCTGACGTCTACAACGGCGACAATGATGTGCAACAGTAGGTGCCGTGCCCTTCTATACAGCTGGTGCGGTGACGGCGTGCTGTGCGTGGGGTGCACGCCAAGGACGAGTTTTCTCCATGGAGTCCTGCCGTGTGGGCTAGAGGCCCAAGCATGGGCACGGCAAAAGAGTGTTAACGGGAGTGAAGTATTATCCCTGCCCTCGCTTGGGCAACGCCGACGACTTGGTCGGATGTACGGGTTAAGCAGCCGACCGTTCAAAGTGGAAGAGCTGCTTGACGGGCTTCATCGAGCTGGAGAGAACCGCTGTAGTGTTGCTGTCGACCAAGGAGCTCGACAGCTGTAGTTGACTGGGTTGGGTGACGGGTGGGCCGTCGACTAGGAGGAGCGGTTCAACTCGGAGGTCGACGGAGCAGTCCGTCGACCTGACATGTGAGCAGCGGTCGACAAGGGGAGCTCGGCGACAACAGCTGACAGTTCTGGTCGACGGAGGGGTCCGTCGACCAGGGGGTAGCTCGACGGGAGCTGTGGTCGACTAGGGGCACTTGGTGGTCGACCACAGGCACGTGGTGGTCAATAAGAGGCACCGGTGGTGGACCAGAGCACCTAGTGGTCGACCAGGTCAACCAGGTAACCTGCTCGGCGAGTTCTGCGGAGGCACGCAAACGTCGTCGAGGTTGCGATGGCGAAGGCGACTTCAGGCTGGTATCCCGAAGTCGATGTGGTTCATCCGGCGTAGACAACAGCCGACGGATGCACAACGATGCAAGTCGGGCCAATCGTCTGCGCACACCTGCGAGCGTGCGTACTGCTGTGCTCTATGGATGCAACTTTGGACAGCTGCTCTGTTGCAGCGTTTGCACGCCGTCGACCTGCTGCGTTGGCAGGTCGCTCTTCTGTAGTGCTGGCGCGGCTCCTCTATGCAACGCTGGTAGGCGGTCAAACACGCTAGCGGCAAAGTTGCTAGGTGCCTGATGTGATAATTTCCGTTATTGCGTGTTCAACGATTCTGTAATTTCGACTTTGCTAGTGAAAACTCTTGCCGATGCGCAAGCACTAAGGAACGTGCCAACCCCCGTAGTCTAGCTCACTACGGATGTAGAATGACTTTCCACAAGCTTCGCACTTCCTACGTGACCTCTCGAGCCAACACTGCTGATGTCTTCACCAAAGCCCTCGGGTCTGGTGATCATCAGCATTTTTGCACTGCTCTAGGGCTTCTGCTCGTTCTGCCTCACCTGCTTGTCTCTTGATCTTGCACTTGTTGTACATTGATATCTATATTTGTACCTGTATGTCTACTTTTGCTAGGTTGTAATCAGTGTACTACCTTGCAAGTATAACTCTGCATGTGAACTGGCCTTGTTGCCGCTTGCTTGTGCTTAGAATGAGTGGTGATATTGATATCCACTCTGGGCTTTGCATTGCTTTGTTCTCTTGCCTGACTAGTCTTGTGACCGTTTGTTGTGTTGGCTATCCCTCACTTTGCCTAGAGGGGTGTGTCAAAACATATTTGTATGTTCTTAGTTATGCTAGGCTACAGTGAGGTGCTCAGTATAGGGTACAACCCCTATACTTGTATCCTCCTGTTGCTAGTCATTCATCATTCCTGCCTTCCTACTTTAACACCTCGACATGTCAAGACGAGTGGCTCCGTCGTAGCCATCGTGGCCATCGTGGCAGCCCACGATGGTCCTACGATCTAGGTTGTCCCCTTGGGGCCGCGTGGCAAAATTCCTGACCCGACGTATCGAGCTGGGAATTGACACGCGCTGAGATATACTTCTCGGATTTGTCTCTGCGAACCTCAAGGTCGACCGCCCGTCGACAATCTTGAGGGCACTCGTGCCCGGAGCACAGCCAGTTTGCCACACGGAGTTCAACGGGAGTTCGACAGGATTGAGGGGGGGCTATGTCATTTCGCAACCGCGAACATGGGCGGTGCTTTTCGTCCGCCAAGGTATACCCTATAGACGATTTAGATCATTCCACATCATCATGGTTGAAATCTGAACCCTTCATATGTTTGTGTAAGGGTTCCAAACACCCCAATTAAAAAAAATTATGAGGGGTGCATTCAACCCTAAGACCAATCCAGGGGGCTGGCCGAGACACAAAATTCTACCCTAGAAACTACCATAAGACCAATCCAAGGGGCTGGCCACAAAATTATACCGTAAGACCAACCGAAGTGGCTGGCCTCCACGTTAAAGAGCTTCGCATGCGGTGAGCGTGGATCGAACACGCGACCTTCAGATCTTCAGTCTGACGCTCTCCCAACTGAGCTATCCCCGCACGTCTTAAACCAGTTGAAATAATTAATATACTATTTGTTTTTGAAGGCGTCACCTTGATAATTCGGGAACTCCATTTGTCCCAGTTGTGTTAGCACCTCGCTCATAATGACGCGATTCCACTCCTCCGGGTCTTATCGATTGGCCAGAACTCTTCAAGTCATTTTTAGGTCTCAAGTTACGATCGGCCGGGTTCTAGTCTTAATCGTTCTCCTCGTCGTGGCCTATTTGACGTCCTTCTTATTGCTCCGATCTGGTAGCCTTTTTACCGGAAAACCCGCGAGCTTCCATCCGTCCGCATTCCCTCAGAGCGGGTGCGAAACTGCTAGAAATTGCCATGGCACAGTCATGGACCGATATGTTTATACCGCGGATCCGGAATTCAGGTGAGCATTCACGTACATTGACGTGCATTGACTCACGTTGACCTGGATTGACTCGCATTGACCTACGTGGACTCATGAGCACCGTCGTCAATTGCATCCGTCAACGCCGTAGATTTTTCTAGAAGGAGCCTCTCGTGCAAATGACTGAAAGCCTATCAATGAAGGGACCGCTCGAGAGTAGTTTACTCGACACACGCGTCCCCTGCACGGTCGAGTGTTTGCAATATCGCGCACGTACGCGTCGAGGCCTGTAGTCGTCGTCAGGCGCGCAGCCTGCAGGACAGAGCACACGGGTAAACCGTAGCTGTATCCATCATGCGTGCGAGCCTCTAGTCTTTTCTACACCTGCTTCAAGTAGCAATTACCTAATAGCTACCCACGTATTTTCTGGTCTGCTGCTGGCAGGTGGGAGGACACGGGCAATCGCATGCGATCAAAAGAGGGAGGGGGGTGGTGGACGGGGTATGTGCTCAAGGTGTACACGCACCAGTGGCTCAACCGCACTGTTACCAACCGTTACAAGTGGTGGCACTGGCTCATTCTCATGGTGTGTATGATGTATGTGTGCGGCATGGTGCTCATGTGGTGTGTGTGCGGCATGGTGCTGATGGTGTGGCATGGCATGCTGGGCAAGATACGCTGTTGCATGGCATGGGAGGACATGGCATGGAATTTCTTCGTATGGTGGTTCTAGATGCTCGTGGTACGAGCATGGCTGGTGCTCATTGCACGGCATGGCATGTTGCTGGTGCTTATGGCATGTTGCTCGTGCTCGTGCTCGTGTCATGGAATGCTGCTTGAGCTACTGGTCATGGCATGGCATGGTGTTGGTGCTGGTGCTGGTGCTCATGACATAGGGTAGGTGGTGTTGGGGTGTGAGCCTGCCCTCGTCTCCATGCTTGAAATGCTCTGAGCTGCTCCGCTTCGCCTTGTCCTGCAGGCTGCCACCATAGCACGCCTTTGCTGCCCCCCTTTCCCGAGCTGCCTCCTAAGAAGATGCGGAATTCGTACTGTACTTGCTGCTCGTTGCAACCATGCCTTGTTTTACAGGGTTCACTGCTTGCCTCCATTGCCCCTCCCTTCCCCCCCACCAGGCGCCGGACAAGATGCACAACGCGCACAAGGGGCTGTGCTGTTCTTCGTAGGAGCGGGACTGACAAGATTTTCATTCGCCCCTCCCTCCCGCCACTTCTCCTCCCCTCTCTCCCCCCCCCCCCCCTCAGGCGCCGGACAAGATGCACAATGCGCACAAGGGGCTGGTGCTGTTCTTCGTGGGGGCGGGGCTGAACCCCGTCAACCAGGTGCACATCCCGGGCGCTGATGAGATCTTCATTCGCCTCGCCGCTCCGTACGTGCCCGCCCACTGCCCGCCCACTGCCCGCCCAGTGCCCTTCCACTACCCTCACACATCCTCTGCTTGTGCTCTCACCACGTGTCGACTCACTATTGCAACTCGTTGTGCCGATTCTTCCTAGCTGTGTGCGGTGATACTTCTTCTGCGTGCCCCATCATTCCGTCAGTCAATTTTCTCCTCTGTCTGTGCCACCCCCTCTGTCTGTGCCGGCTTTTCTATGTGTGTTGTCCACTTTGTATGTGCCGCCCGCTGTGTCTGTATGTGCCACCCGCTGTGTCTGTATGTGCCACCCGCAGTGTCTGTATGTGCCACCCGCTGTGTCGGTATGTGCCACCCGTTGTGTCTGTATGTGCCACCCGCTGTGTCTGCCTGCCACCCCTGCCGTCTGTGTGCTACCATCAGACCAGCTTGTACCTCCTTCGTCCCGCCTTCCTCGCTCCCGCCACGTGTACCCCTCCCTCCCATGCAACGTGCAGCATGGTGGTGGGTCTTGGCATTCTGGGAGTGATGCTACAGCAGGTGCCCATGTCGAAACAGCAGGCGAAAACGAGAAACAGGAAAGAGGGGTTTTCACTAGCAGCAGTTGAGATACATATAAGGAACCCTAATTGGGTTGTACTCGATACAGAGTACCCCACTGCAGGCTAGACAAACATCGACATTCTGACACACCCCCATAGTGGGGTACAGTCAACACAACAAGCAGGCAGAGCAATAGTTCAGGATAAGCAAAGCTAGAGGCTATCACAGAGGGCAAGTGAGGAGGAGGAGGAGAAACTATGGAGGACGAGAAAATGAGAGACGACGGCTGAAGCTGCAGACACACGGGCAACAGGAGTGCGCAGCACTGACGCTACCAGGCTAAACCCGGGCTACACGGCGACAGGCGCAGCTGGCTCACTGTGCTCCCAGGAGTGCTCACACTGTGGCTACCGGGCGCAGAGCCCCGGACTATACGGCCACAGGGGGTCGTGGCTCTCTGGACTACCAGGAGTGCTCACACTGTGGTTACCGGGCGCAGAGCCTCGGACTACACGGCCACAGGGGGTTGTGGCTCTCTGGACTTCAGGCGCTGCGGACGACAAGTCGGCTACCTCCGGTCAACCTCCCCCAACTGTCCCACACCCCCTTCACACACCGCCTGCTAAACCACTAGCACCGCTCGCACGCCACCCCCTCGTACCACTCCGACGGCTCCAACACATCCACCCCGCTCAGCGGCAGCTGCAGCAGTGGGAGACGGAGGAGGAGGAGGAACAGGGGACGGCTCACACACACGGCACCCCCATACTCTCCACCCCCAAACCCTAACAGAGGAGTGTAGTCAGAAGCTCGGGGGACGGCGTGCGGCACTGGGGCAGACGGTACGGGCCGCTCACGGGCCTGGCGCAGGCCGGACGAACCGCGTGCGGGCTGCCCGAGCCGCGCGCGGGCCTGGCGTAGCCCGTACGGGCCTCATGCGGGCCTGGCGCAGGCCGTACAGGCCGCGCGCGGGCCTGGCGCAGCCCGTACGAGCCGCGCGCGGGCCTGGCGCAGGCCGTACGGACCGCGCGCGGGCCTGGCGCAGGTCGCGCGGGCTGCTACGGGCGACGGGGGGTGACGCGCGAATCCCCGGGGGCGCTGCGATGGGCAACGGGGGGCAACGCGCGGATCGACGGGGCTGAAAACCGCCGCGCGCCTCGGGGCGCACGGCGGGCAGAAAACCGCCGCGCGCCCCGAGCGCGCGGCGGGATGAAAAATACGCCGTGCACCCGAGCGCGCGGCAAGCAGAACACGTCGCGCGATAGGCAGGACAGCAGCGGAAGCATTAGGTGGCGGGCCCATCCACAGGATCGACCAAGGAGGGTCGACCTGCTCGATAGCATGTCGAAACAGCAGGCGAAAACGAGAAACAGGAAAGAGGGGTTTTCACTAGCAGCAGTTGAGATACATATAGGAAACCCTAATTGGGTTGTACTCGCTATAGAGTACCCCACTGCAGGCTAGGCAAACATCGACATTCAGACAGCCCATGCCCATGATATGCCACCAGCTCTCAGCTTCTACCTCTTGCTTCCTGCCTCCGCCCCCCCTCCTTCCCTCCCATGCAACATGTAAGCAGCATTGTGGTGGATTTGGGCATTCTCGGAGTGATGCTACAGCAGGTGGTGCGCATGATTCCCATTTTCTCTCAGCTTCCACCTCTCCTCTACCCTTCTCTCCCCTCCCCGTTCCCCCCTTTTTCCACTTCAACCCCTTTCCCCCAACCGTGCAGCATGGTGGTATATCTGGGCATTTGGGGAGTGATACTGCAACAACTGGTGCCAATGCAACCCCTCCCACGTCTCACCTCTACAGCAACTCTCAGCCTCCACTTTTCCTCTCCCCTTCTCCCCTCCCCTCGTTCGCCCCTATCCTTGCCCTCCCATGTAATGTAACGTGCATGCAGCATAGTGGTGGATCTGGGCAATGATGCTACAGCAGGTGCCCACCCATGATGCTCTCCTCTCGCCCTCTCCTTGCCCCCACTCTCCCACCACCGCTACCCGTCCCTCTCGACCCACACGTGCCGTACAGCATGGTGGTGGATTTGGGCATTCTGGGCGTGATGCTACAGCAGGTGCCCATGATGCCCATCAGCTTCAAAGTGGGTCCCCCTGGCATAGGCCCGCGGGCTGAACTCATTGAAGAGGAAATCACCGCCCGTGAGTGCATGATGGATGAGTGCATGGCAAGTGGGAGACAGAGCATGTGAACGAGTGCATGGCAAGTGGGAGAGAGAAAAGTAACACAAAGTAAGTGGATAATGTGCATCACTTTCTGCTTAAGGCATGGCATGGCTTGGTCAGCATGGTCAGCAGCATGGTCAGCATGGTATGTCAGCATGGTCAGCTGGGCTCAGGAATAGGGCAGTCTCTCCATCTCCACCCATCCACATCGCAATGTACCCCACCACATGCAGACACCATTGCCATGTTCCTGGACCATCCAGACGAGTGGGAGTGGCTCACCCCCCTGCCCCATGGCCGCACACTTTCTTCCTCCACCCACATGATGTGCCATGCATCCCTTTGCACTCTTGCACATGCACCTGTTTCGCCACCCACGCATGCAGACACCCTCGCCATGTTTCTGGACCATCCAGACGAGTGGGAGTGGCTCACCCCCCTGCCCATGGCCAAGTCCATCATCCGCGCCCTCGATGCCACGCAGCTCGCTGTTAGAGAGCTGCTGCCGCATGTGCCCGTGAGTGCTGCTGCTGCTCACTGTTGTTGCTTGCATGAAATGGTTTTTCCTCACATCGGTCTAGGAAGGCTCCCTCACCCCCCTGCCTGCCCATAGCTAAGTAAGTCCATCATCTGCGCACCCTCGACGCTAATATCTGGCCGCTAGGGAGTTGCTGCCCCACGTGCCGGTGAGATGGGTGTGTGGGTGAGTGTCATCATGGATGGCATTGCATGACCCCATCATGAGTGTCAGCGTGGATGGCATTGCATGACCCCATCATGAGTGTCAGCGTGGATGGCATTGCATGACCCCATCATGAGTGTCAGCGTGGATGGCATTGCATGACCCCATCATGAGTGTCAGCGTGGATGGCATTGCATGACCCCATCATGAGTGTCAGCGTGGATGGCATTGCATGACCCCATCATGAGTGTCAGCGTGGATGGCATTGCATGACCCCATCATGAGTGTCAGCATGGATGGCATTGCATGACCCCATCATGAGTGTCAGCATGGATGGCATTGCATGACCCCATCATGAGTGTCAGCATGGATGGCATTGCATGACCCCATCATGAGTGTCAGCGTGGATGGCATTGCATGACCCCATCATGAGTGTCAGCGTGGATGGCAATGCATGACCCCATCATGAGTGTCAGCATGGATGTCATTGCATGACCCCATCATGAGTGTCAGCATGGATGGCATTGCATGACCCCATCATGAGTGTCAGCATGGATGGCATTGCATGACCCCATCATGAGTGGCTCACCCCCCTGCCCATGGCCAAGCCAATCATCGCGCCCTTGATGCCACGCAGCTCGCCGCCAGGTAGTTGCTACTCCACGTGCCGGTGAGTAGATGCCTTATCTTCACACGTGTGTCAGTGCCTCAGCCACTACCTCGCATCCCCTTGCACCCCTCGCACATCTTGCATGATGCAAGTTGCACGGATGGTATCAGCCTCCCTCATCCCCCTGCCCATGGCCACGTCCATCATCTGTGCCCTCCATGCCACTCACCTCGCTGCTAGGGAGCTGCTGCCGCACGTGCCGGTGAGTGCTGCTGCTGCCTCGATAGTGTTACTGCCTGCACGGAATGGTTCTTCTTACATGGGAACCGAACAGCTCCCTCTCTTGTAATCATTGCCCATTCCTGACAATCATTCCCCATTCTTCTCAATTGTCGCCCATGCTTGTCAATCATTGTGCATCCCCGATAAATCATTGCCTGTTCTTGCTCATCCCATCACACATCATCTGCTGTTGCTGTTGTTGTTGCTGTTGCTGTTGCTGGTGCTGGTGCTGGTGCTGTTGCTGTTGCTGTTGCTGTTGCTGTTGCTGTTGCTGGTGCTGTTGCTGTTGCTGGTGCTGTTGCTGTTGCTGGTGCTGTTGCTGTTGCTGTTGCTGTTGCTGTTGCTGGTGCTGTTGCTGTTGCCGGTGCTGGTGCTGGTGCTGGTGCTGGTGCTGGTGCTCTTGCTCTTGCTCTTGCTCTTGCTGTTGCTTTTGCCGGTGCTGTTGCTGGTGCTCTTGCTCCTGCTCCTGCTCCTGCTCCTGCTCCTGCTCCTGCTCCTGCTCCTGCTCCTGCTCCTGCTCCTGCTCCTGCTCCTGCTCTTGCTGTTGCTGTTGCTGGTGCTGGCTCGCAGGTGGAGGGGTTTGTGGCGATCGGAGTGAGCAAGCGAGCAGGCATGTCCTACTTCGCTGCAGCTCTTGACAAGGTGCGGTGCAGTGTGGCAAGGTGCGGTGCAGTGTGGCAAGGTACGGTACAGAACCGTACAGTGTGGTACGGCGCAGTGTGATACAGCCTCAACCTGCTCAACGACGTGCCCATTCTGCAAGCAATGCATGCATGCCGCTTCCCTTCTTCATCCCCTCCCCTCTCCCCAACCCCCTTCCACACCTGCCCAACCAACCCCCCCTCTCCCCCCCCCCGCACTCCTTCATCTCCTTCAGCGGGGGGTGTTCTGGCTGGCATTCATATGGCACGGCGCTATGGGCTGAGGACACATGGCTACAGAGCAGATTCCTCTTCCCTCACATCCCCTTGATCCTCTTCCCTCACATCCCCTTGATCCTCTTCCCTCACATCCCCTTGATCCTCTTCACTTCCCCATCGCCCCCGTCAGCGAGTTGTCGCCTCGCGTTCATAACGTACGGCTACGATCGCCTTAACGAGGTGGCCTATCTGCACCACACTCATGCCCCTTCTTTCCCCCTTCCCTCCTCTCCCTCCCCCCGTCCACCCCTCTCCATTCCCTCATCTCATGCAGTGAGTGGTGGCATTCATAAAGTATGGCTACGATGTGCTCAACATGGTGCCCAATCCACAGTAGCACATCCACTCCCCTTCCCTTCCCTTCTCCTAATCCCCCTCCCTTCCCCCCCAACCCCCTACATCCCCACGTCTCATGCAGCGACTGGTGGTGCCCAATCTGCAGCACATGCGCACCCCTTCCCTCAGGCTACATGTGCTTACTTCCCCCACCGCCCTCCCCCGTGCAGCGAGTGGTGGCGTTCATAACGTACGGATACGATTTGCTCAACGTGGTGCCCAACCTGCAGCACATGCACGACTCGCTGGGCGGCTGGCCCATTCTGCTCAAGTTCAACTCCGAGTACAACATCAGCCAGCGCCTCCACTCCAACCAGTACCGGAAAGCGGCGGTAAGCTGCTGCTGCTGCTGCTGTTGCTGCTGTTGCTTGCCACTGCTTGCTGTTGCCGCTGGCAATGCCGTTATTGGGTGCCTCAAGGCGCTGGCCCATACTGCTCGAGTTCATCTCCCAGTACAACATCTCCCAGTACAACATGCCATGTTACGGATCTCAGCTCGGTCACTTGCTGACCTTATGCTATGTCCGACCCTCCGCACCCACACATGCAGGAAGTGATCGACCCATACACGCTCATCGACCGCATGGACATGCCCAAGCTGCTCATCTCCGCCTCCAACGACGAGTTCTTCCTCATCGACGACTCGTCAGTGCTGCCATGCCCCTTCATGCTCCTCCACGTGCCTTCATGCCATGCACCTTCGTGTGCCTTCATGCCATGCACCTTCGTGTGCCTTCATGCCATGCACCTTCGTGTGCCTTCATGCCATGCACCTTCGTGTGCCTTCATGCCATGCACCTTCGTGTGCCTTCATGCCATGCACCTTCGTGTGCCTTCATGCCATGCACCTTCGTGTGCCTTCATGCCATGCACCTTCGTGTGCCTTCATGCCATGCACCTTCGTGTGCCTTCATGCCATGCACCTTCGTGTGCCTTCATGCCATGCACCTTCGTGTGTCTTCATGCCATGCACCTTCGTGTGCCTTCATGCCATGCACCTTCGTGTGCCTTCATGCCATGCACCTTCGTGTGCCTTCATGCCATGCACCTTCGTGTGCCTTCATGCCATGCACCTTCGTGTGCCTTCATGCCATGCACCTTCGTGTGTCTTCATGCCATGCACCTTCGTGTGTCTTCATGCTCCTTGATGCGCCTTCAATCCACCTTCATGCCCTCCTATACCTCCCCTCCTATACCTACAAATGGGTAGTCATATCGAACAAATGGTTTTACAGGATCAGTCTGATTGGTCGTCTGGTGCCCGGATGATTTCGTTTTGGTGCCTTAGATGATCCGCTGGTGCTTCGATAAGCTTCAAGATCTGCACTGGAAATGATGGCACACAGTGGGAATCTTGGTCTTGATGAATTTGCCATGAAAGAAGAGGGAAAGTGGTATGGTAGTATAGCAGCCAGCTAGTGTGTTCCTAGAAAGCATACCACTAGCTGGCTGCTATACTACTATACCATCTTCCCTCTTTAGTATCGTTATTTATTTTCACCCTCTTTAGCCACCTAGTATGGTTATTTATTTTCCTAGGGCGGAGATGCGAGATTGGGATGGGTCTTACCTTGTTGCAGAGTCTTGCGACTCGTCAGAAAGAACACAGAGCTCTATCCTCGTTCGTTTCTGCCGGTTCTCCTCTCCCCCTGTATTTCCCCCCCCCCTCTCCCAACTGCCCTCCCTGTCCACCCACGCAGCTACTAATTCGTGAAGGACATGCCACAACCCACGCAGCTCAAGATCGGTTTCTTCAGTCGAATAGAAAACCCCTTCTTCCGCCCGCCTCCTCTCTCCCCACTTGCGCAGCTACTATTTCATGAAGGACATGCCACAGCCCACGCAGCTCAAGATAGTGCCCAACCTCTACCACATGGTCATCCAAAACTCCTTCTGGGTCAGTGCTGCCGTCCTTACCTCGAATAGACCTCTCTACCTCTCGCTGCAGCTTTGCACTTTACAGTGCCCAGCCTCTACAACATGGTCATCCAAAACTCCTTCTGGGTGCGCCCCACGCGCCCTTGCTTCTCCACCCTCTCTTCTCCACCCCCTCTTCTCCGCCTTTTCTTTGCCTTAGCTGAATACGCCCAGTATTCTTGTCGTGCGCTCTCGCTATTTGGGGAGCCCTTGCTCTTCCGTATGGTTGTGAAAATGGTCTGTTGGCGCCCTGTATCCCATCCAGAAAGAATCATGCGCCATGCCTGTGAATCATTTTCTCCGTTTGGTAAGCCCTGGTGCTTCTCTTCATCTCTTCTTGTTGGCTGTCATTCGCCCACTGCCCTCCCGTGACCTGCTCTTTCCAATTCCTCGATCCCTCCTCCTCTCCCCCTTTTTCCTCCCTTTCCCCGCATTCCCCCACTCCTCAGGCGATGTCTGCCCTTTTTCTCCTCTCTCCTCGAAGCTGATTCCTCCTGCACCTCTTTCACCCCCTCCTCCATCCCCACCTCCTCTTTCCCTTGCTCTCCCTCCTCTCTCCCTCTCCCCCCCTCTCACCCATCAGGCATACGACGCAAGCATCTCCTTCTTTTCCACTATCCTCGAGGTCGATTCCTCCTGCGCCTCTCTCCCCGCCTCCTCCCGCCCCTCTCTCACCTGGACTCGACCCAACACCTCTTCTTCCTCTTCCTCCTCCTCATCTCCATCCTCTTTAAGAGCCGCTTCAGTAGAGGGTACAGGCTTGTTCTCTCAAGGAGGTGGAGGAGAAGGAGGTTCGGAAAATCCCGAGCGTAAGATGCTGCCTTGGAGCTGCACGCCGAAGCTGCCGGCTGTGCTGTGGCCGAACCTGAGGTGGCGGTTTGATTGGTCCACGTTCTCCATCTATGCCACGTCAGAGCGCAAGCCATTGGCTGTCAGGGCGTGGTGAGTGAATGGGGGGTGGTAGGTGCGAGGGAGGAGAAACGAGGGAGAGATGGGGAGGAAAGATGGGGACGAGGGAAATGCGGAGGAATAGGGGATGGCAGTTGAGTGGGGGGTGGCAGTTGGGTGGGGGATGGCAGTTGGGTGGGGGATGGCAGTTGGGTTGGGGATGGGGAGGGGATGCGTGGGGGATGTATAGGTTATCCAGGTGATGTACCTGCTGCTTTGGTACTTGTTATGTTGCCCCTTTCCTTATCCCTGTTGTCTTCCTCAGGGTGATGTACAAGACCTGTTCTCTGCTTCTCATCCGCTTCCCCCTGTGGTCTCTTTTATTGTTTTCTATGTGTGGTCAGGAGTGCCCGCACAATTCTGGGCAGCAAGCGAAGGGATTTCCGAATGGTCATCAAGCAAGGCTCAGCAGGATGGTGAGAGGAGAGGAGAGGAGAGGGGAGGGGAGTGGAGGGGAGGGGAAAGGGGGGGAGGGGAGGGGAGGGGAGGGGAGGGGAGGCGGGGGGAGGGGAGGGGAGGCGGATGGAGGGGAGGGGAGGGGAGGGGAGGGAGAGAAGCGGAGGGGAGGGGAGGGGAGGGAAGGGGAGGGGAGGGGAGGGGAGGGGAGGGGAAGGGAGGGGAGCGGAGAGGAGGGGAGGGGAGCGGTTGGGAGAGGAGGAGTGAGGAGAGGAGAGGGAAGGAGAGAGGAGAGGGGAGGAGAGGAGAGGGGAGGAGAGGAGAGGAGAGAAGAGTGTTGCGTCGCTGTTTAGCAGAAAACATCCCCAATTTTTCTCCCCATACCCCACCCCCCACCCTCTCCACCCACCCTTCCCCCCCACGGTTCTTGTGTTCCCCGGAACCCCCAGTGTGGCCCCTTTCCAGATGCCATCTGTCACGTATCCGGGCAATTTCGGCATGCTGTGTGCGCTTCCACACTCCTTGTACCCCTTCGCTTTCCCCATCCCCACCCCTCCCCCCCTTTCCTTTTCCCCACTCCCTCTTTCCTCCCAACCTGGCCTCCATCTCCAAGTGTGGCGCCCTTCCAGATGCCCTCCTTCACATACCCGGGCAAGTTCGGCATGCTGTGTGCGCAGCCCATACCGTATGTGACTGTGAACATGTCCAAGCCCCGGGCAGAGGATGACGGGTTGTGGCACTTCCACGCTACCATCACCGATGTGCCCAAGGTGAGTCGGAGTGTGAGTGAGTGAGTGAGTGTGTAGACACTCTATACAGCATAGAAGCATGCGGTTTCTGCATATGGCCAGCCCATGCAGTTTGTCAGGGAGAGGATGGGAGGTTGTGGCACTTGGGTTGACGTATATGACATGTCTTCCCAAGCAGTGAAGTGATTAGCATGCCTTGGGCTGACATGGGCTGAATTCACTTCACTACTTGTGAAGACCAGCCCTGGTAGTTTGGCTTGACATGGTCGAATGTTGCCTTCCCATTCTGACTTTCCTTTCTGCCTGCCCTTTCTGCCTGCCTTGTCTCATGCAGGAGGGGTACAGGGCAATGTTCATAGAAGTGGATTTCAACCAGGGCCCGTGCAAGAAGCCATTCACCATCACCACAGAGGCTATTTGCTGCTCCCAGCACCCACAAGTGCTTGCTCCCGTTCCGCTTGACATGTCTTTCTGTGTGCGCTTTTGTGCCTGCCCCTCCCCTGTCTCATGCAGGAGGGGTACAGGGCGATGTTCATAGAGGCGGATTTCAAGCAGGGAACGTATAAGAAGCCCTTCACCATCACCACAGAGGCTATGGTCGCCCCCAACACGCTGCCCTTCTCGCCCTGCACCAAGCCAGAGTGCTACTTCCACTTCGTGTAACCCCGTATCGTGTTCATGACCTTTCCTCTTTTGTTATACTCTCCAAGTCTTCTTGATTTGTTGGGTGTCCTTTGTTTTATTGGATTCAGTACCGTATTGTCCGGTATGAATTTGCTGCACTGCAAGCTGTGCCAAATTCACACCGCTCTGCCGCACCACTCTGCCGCACACCACTCTGCCGCACACCACTCTGCCGCACACCAATCTATCGCACACCACTCTGCCGCACACCACTCTGCTGCACACCACTCTGCCGCACACCAATCTATCGCACACCACTCTGCCGCACACCACTCTGTTGCACTCCAGTGGCCCTACTTTGGTGCACACCACAACATCAGGGTGCCACATGAACAGGAGGCACGAACAATGAATATGATACGGTAATGAAAACTGGATTAGGATTTTGGGGAGAGTACTGAATGAAAACATGCGAGTTTCATGCTAAGGTATCTGATTATACTTAGTAGCTTTTGTACAGTGACAGGGCAATCGTCTGCTGCGACAGACTTCGAAATCGGCTTCGCCAGCGGGATTTTCGTCAGGGGGTCGTGTGGGACGGAAGGAGGTACGGGCACTAGGAAGCAGCAGAGTGACTGGTGAAAGGTGCAAGGAGGTGACGAGCAGCAGCAGCAATGGAAGGTGGTAAGTGGAGAGGGGGCTCAAGACGGCAGATCGTGATTTAATTAACAGAAGGCGGACGCGGAGGCTGTGGAGAAGGTGTTGGTTCTTGAGGGAAGCTTTGGAACAATGACTGTGGACTCACTATTAACTCGTCTTGGGTTCTGAGGGGTCTAAAACACCATGGGGGTGGCGGTGCTTGACGCCAAACCACATGAGGACCTTGTGGAGGAAGGGGTGGTGGCTTATGGCCCGGACAGGATGATGTTTGGGGTGGGGCCTTTTGGGGCGGATCAGCAGAACGTCGCGGTGGGGCCTTGTTGAATGGGTCGGTGACCGGTGTAGGTGGGAGGTGCGATGCATCGGGGCAGACGAAGTCGAAGTGGATCTTGTAGGCTGCTATTGCAAAGCGCGATGCGTTGAGTACCCCCTTTGCCTCCCATGCAGCCAATAGCGTTTTGAAGTGGAACAAGGCAAGCGCTGTAGATGGGGGGTGGGCGCGGGGGTAGGGTGGGTGGGATGGGAGGATGGGGAGGAGATGGAGTAAACTTTTGAGTCGACTCAAAAGGTGGTGTGTTGAGGACCCTCTTCGCTGCCCACGTGGCTAGACGGGTCATGAAGTGGAAGAAGGCAAGTGCTGCCTGTCGGAGATGGGGTGGGGGGATATAGGAGGGAGGAGATGGAGGGAAAGATGGATTTGGTCAAATGGGAGTGAGAAAATGGCAAGGCATGCCGAAGGGAGGGAAATAGGGGAGAGGAAAACATGATGACCTTCATCCCACTGCGCTAGGTACGCACTATCCTTGAAGCGCTCGAAATAATTTACCTCGAATTGTACGCGTTACCAGTCCAACCGCAGTTAGAGGGTGCGCTTGGGTGCAACGACCCATCACACTCATTATCCAAGGCAAATTTTGTTGATCACAACAAATGATTGAGAATTTGTCTCGTAATGATTCGACTGTGATATTTTACACTGGTGAAATCGAGAGGCAAACAAAGAACTTTCATTATAAGAAAATGCATACGCACATGCAATTTTGTAATAAAAAAGACACTCGAGCTTCAACAACTCCTCATCCCGCAAGACTACTGCCTCATCCTCTCGATCTACTATGCCCGCTAGGTATCCACCCCCTAGTTGGGCTTTGCAAAATGCCGCTGGCTGCCCGAGGGGCCACTGCCATCATGGCACCTGTTGTCCGTACTCGGCTTGCCAGAGTACTTCACCGACTTGCGGTGGTGGCACTCGTAACCCTTGTGACCAGGCTTGCCGCACTTGAAGAAACTCTGGACATTGCTTGGTCCACCTTCTTGGCCTTGTAGCCAGCCTGATGTCCCTGCTGGAAGGGCCTCTTGTGGTTCCCGCCCTTCCAAGGCGTTGCCTGCTTCCACCTGTAGGGCTAGAAGACGGCCTTGAGGCCTGCTGCGGCTGGGTAGTAGTCTTCGCATAAGCACGGAAATGCGTGCTTCACGTGATCATAGGACCTTTACGACTCCCCAGCCCCATCCGTCATGTACATGGTCTGGAGGTGCTCAGGCAAGCCCTTAAAGAAGGGGTGGATCTTCTCACCTTCGCTCATATTTTCCGCCGGGTTTTGGAGCACCCAAATCTCCTCGAACTCCATGGCGTACTGCTGAATCATGCGGTTACCACACTGCAGCTTCTCAAGGCGGCTTCGCACCTCTAACTGGGTCGGCTGGACCTGGAGAGGTTGCTTGAGTTCAGAAGCAAATTCCTCCCACTCAAACGGCTTCTTGTCTGCCTCAGCTTGGAGCTTGTTACCATACACCACTCGCTGTGCATTCTAGTCTAGCATGGTGGTGGCAGCGACAACGCGAGCGTCGTTATGGACCTTGTGAGCCGCGAACAGGTCATTCATTATCGACAGCCATGCCGCCACGTCCGTCTTACCATGGGAGGGTAATTGGGAGAGAGAAAAAAACATGTGTGCTCGGCTCAGCAGCGCGCATCGTAGAAGGTCCGGGCTCACCTGCCACACCACCAGAGTGAGAAGAGTGGGTGTGACCGCTAGCAGAGTGGGCAGGCGGGTCCGCTCGTGCTGCAGGGCGAAACCTGGTCTCTTGGCGGAAACCCCTGAAAGCTTCCTGCAGGTTGTTGATCTTTGAAGTCCGCCTTCCCAACTGATAAACATGCTACCTTACATCGTGCTTCATGTTCTTGAGCTCGACTTCCAAGAACTTGATTTTGTTGTCTTGGTTAGAGAGCTCCCCCCTAAGGTTGTTAATGAGCGACTGCTGCTTCTGGATGCGCATATCCTGCTCAGCAGCATGGTCTTGCAACTTGGCAATTTCAGCATGCAAGATGTCCTCTTCGCCCTCCAACTCAATGCCTTCCTCCTGGAACTCCTCTTTCTGGCCCTTGAAATTTTCAGCAGCTGGAGGATTCATAGCAGAGGAGTTTTCCGCAGCTTCTTTTCCAGCCATCTCTGTCAAATTATAATCTTGTGTAGGCTATAGTGGGGTAGCTCATATGGGGTACACATTTCTAGGGTTGCATATTTGTATCACTTCCATTCCATAGTCATTTCATTCTCGTTCTACTTTTCTCATGGTATCGAGCAGGTTCCCCCGTGGGAACTGTGCCTAGGGCCCACCACATCGAGTCTTTTTTTTTTTCTCTCCTGCCCGAAGCGCGCTCGGCCTGAGTCGCGCTCCGGGCTCTCTCTCACTTTGTCGAGCCGCCCTAGAGGCCCCGCCGCCCGTCGATTAGGCCCCGCAGCCCTAACGGCCCCGCCGCCCGTCGATTCAGCCCCGCCGCCCGTCGAGTAGGCCCCGCCGCCCTAACGGCCCCGCCGCCAGTCGATTCGGCCCCGCCGCCCTTCTCAGCGGCCCCTCCGCCTCCTCTTAGCGGCCCCGCCGCCCTTATCAGCGGCTCCGCCGCCTCACACTGAGGCCCCGCCGCCCCTCGTCGCGGCCCCGCCGCCTCTCTTGACGCGGCCCCGCCGCCCTTCGTCGCGGCCCTGCCGCCCTTCGTCGTGGCCCCGCCGCCCTTCGTCGCGGCCCCGCCACCCTTCGTCACGGCCCCGCCGCCCTTCGTCGCGGCCCTGCCGCCCTTCGTCGCGGCCCCGCCGCCCTTCGTCGCGGCCCCGCCGCCCTTCGTCGCGGCCCCGCCGCCCTTCGTCGCGGCCCCGCCGCCTCTCTCTCAGCGGCCTCGCCGCCCTTCACTGCGGCCCCGCAGCCTCACACTTAGGCCCCGCCGCCCTTCGTCCCGGCCCCGCCGCCTCTCTCGCTGCGGCCCCGCCACCATTCTCGACGGCCCCGCCGCCCTTCTCTGCGGCCCCGCCGCCTCTACCACCGCGGCCCCGCCACCTACCTTGCGGCCCCGCCGCCCTTCACCGCCCGACCCGCCCGAACCGCCCGAGCCGCCCGAGCCGCCCGAGCCACATGGGCCACCCGAGCCGCCCGAGCTGCCCGAGCCGCAAGCGCCGCTGAGGACCCGAGCCGCCCGAGCCGCCCGAGCCACCCGAGCCGCCCGAGCCGTCTGAGGAGCCGAGCCGCTGGTACCGCGGGCAAGTTGCTGCTGAGCCGTCCGAGCAGCAGTCTTGCCGTGTTGCTCTGCTACTGAGCTACCCGAACCGCCCTGTCTGGTGAGAGCAGCACTTCCGTCACTGCACTGCCCCTGTCCTACAGTTAGTGCTGCTAGTCTACTGTTGTCATGGCTACCCCTAGTGTCCAAGCTTTTGACGCTGAGGGTCGTGCCATTGACTTTGAGGTCTGGGTCGACGACCTGCAGCTGTTCCTACAGTGCGATAGGGCAGACGGTCTTTCTCTCTCTGACCTCACCTCTGGCGCCTCTCCTGCCCCTGCTGCTGATGCTGACCCCACTGTTTGCTCCCAGTGGGCCACGCGCAATGCTGCTGCACGTCTTGCTATGCGTCGCCACCTCCCTACCTCTGAGCGTGCGCACTTTAGTCAGTACAAGAATGCTCAGACCTTGTACGACGCTGTAGTTGCACGCTACTCCTCCCCTGCCACTGCTGCACTGAGCCGTCTCATGCTACCGTACCTCTTCCCTGACCTTGCTGCCTTTCCCACAGTAGCTGACCTCATTACGCACCTCCGCACTAGTGACACTCGCTACCGAGCTGCGCTTCCTGTTGACTTCTGCGCCAAGAACCCCCCCCCCATGTACATCACTCTCTACTTCATAGTCACTCGTCTCCCTGACTCCCTTCGTGTAGTCAGGGACCACTTCCTCTCAGTCTGTCCCACCACTCTCACTGTAGACCTCCTCGAGAAGTCCCTCCTAGCGGCCGAGAAGAGCATAGTCGCTGTAGGGGCCTCTCGTGGTGACCCACGCACCCCCATCTTTGAGGGGTGTTCTCCTTCCCCTCTTTTGCCCTCTGTCGCCTCTG